AGTGCCGCTATTGAGACACCTTGTGCTAAAGGCCAAGCTTTTAACTTCTGCCTCACAGTGTTTCTCACCCTTCATAATCCTAATTCTTTCCTTGTGCCATTATTTTAAATCCTCACTTGAGGATATTTTTCCATTTTTGTTCAAGTAGAGTGGGAGGCAGAGAGAGGAATGGAGAGATAGAGATAGATAGATATATAGATAGCTAGATAAAAAAACATTGACTTGAGAGAGACACATCCAGTGGTTGCCTTCTGCACGACCCCAACCAGGTCCGGGGAAGAATTGCAACCAAGTATATGCTCTTGAGTGGAATCGACCCCGAGGCTTATTGGTCTGCAGGCTGATGCTCTAACCGCTCAGCCAAACCAGCCCAGGCTCCTGCCCTCCTGATGTCACCCTGAGGGCAGGTTACAGAGGACACTGTGCAGATTCCCGCGAGCAGTGCCTGGTCCGGGAGCACACGGAGAAACACGACCCTGGAAGGGCTGGAATCAGCACTGAGCACGCGTTCTGAAGGCTTTGTCCTGAATCAGCACATGACTCAGGGGTGTTGGGTCCTCGAAGATGAAGCCTCCTGACCGGCTGCTGGAAGCGGAACGATGGGTGGGCCACTAGGGTCACGGTCCATATTAAGCCGCCTTCCTGGGCCCTGGGAGCCTGTGTTCGGGGGGAGGGGGGGCTGGCTGGGGTGCACACCCTCAGAGGGCCTCTGCCGAGTCCGCAGCAGGAGTCACTGATGCCTCCGGGCTTCCAGTCACTCCTTCAGGAAGAGATAGGGTTCCTGTCTCTTCATTGTAAAGGGCCGTCTCTTCAATAGCTTTAAAGTAACCCGTGGCTGTCCAGTCACAGACATCTTAATGTTTCTTCCTCTATCACTCCTCACACTTACATAAAAAAAATCGCTCAAGTAATATGTTCATTGCAGGAAAGGAGATCTAGACAAGCAAAAAGAAATGAGAAGCATTCCCACAAAGCACTCTACCCAGAGACTGACCGCGGTGAATACTTGGACCTTTGTTCCATCGGCCGCAGTGAGTCCAGTCATGCTGCCCATGTCGTGTGTGGTCTGCAGCCCTGCCCTGGGGTGGACTGGGGGCACTTTTCCCAGAGTCTCCATCTGCTGGACTGTAGTCCATATATTTGGCTTCTCTTAAAAATTAGGCCAAATGACGGGACCCACAGGTTTAGTGATGTTGCTTCCTTGAGTTAAACTCTTTCTAAAGGCCCAACGTTCCAGAGGCAGGGCAGGGGCACTGACAGGCTCTCAGGCATCTTCCAAAGACTGTTTGCAGCTACTTTTTCTAGCAGGTTCCCCCACATTTCCTACTAGAACTTTCACTAACGGGGTGACTTCTCAAGACTGAGTCACAGACAATGGTTAGGGGTACCTCTTCTAGTCCCAGGGCCTAGCAGAGGTGACTTGGAAAGAGGAGAAAAGGGGGCAGGAGGAGCCCTGGCCAGTTTGGCTCAGCGGTTAGAGCGTCCGCCTGCGGTCCAGAGAGACCCGGGTTCGGTTCCCGCTAAGGGCACGTACCTCGGTTGCAGTTTGTCCCTGGCCCTGGTTGGTCGTGCGGCTGGCAGCCACTCGATGTGTCCCTTTCACATCGATGTTTCCCTCTCTCTCTCTTCCTCTCTCTCCCTCCCGCTCTGTCTGTACAAAAAAATGGAAAAATGTCCTCGGATGAGGATTTAAAAAAAAAAAAAAAGAGGGCAGGAGGAGAGAAAAGACCAGAAAGAGAAAAAAAAAAAAGCAAGAGGTATTCAGAAGAAGGGGGGTGAAAGATGCCCAGGTCCTGGCTTTGTGTGCGGCTGGGTGGTACCAGCCTGAGCTACCTCCGCTTGCCCTCCCCAAAGGGAAAGGGAGCTTTTCCAATGAGGTCACCAAGTCCCTACTCTCCGATTGAAATGCTTGCTCACTCACTATCAAGCTTTGCAAATGCTCACATCTGGGCTGCATTACCACAGAGGCCATGTGTTTGGGGAGATGATTTACAGCAGCAGATAACAAGTCCTGCCTGGAGAAGCCCACCAGCAACCCCGGGGGAGTTGGGACTCACATGGGCTATAGACTTGGTTAAATAAATTATGGTGCATAAAGAAATTATGGGGCACCAACACCCACGTGTGTCGTGCACATATCACGGAAGAAAAGAACAGTTTAATAAAGGGAGAACTGAGCACCCCACCTGCTTCCGTTCCCTCATGCAGAAGCAGCGTGTGTTTCTGAGGGCTCCCGCCCCCTGCGCACAGCAGCCAGGAGCGTCTTTGCTCCCCCGCCTCCAGGACCCGCTACTGAGCTCGGAATCACTGGGACAGTCTCTAGCCCAGTGCCTGCCCCTGGATTAACGCCACATTTCAATAGAGAGGAAATTTCTGGAGAGCAAAACTGTATTGTATTTTCCTTTGTCATAGATGCCACAATGAACGAAAAGTGATATTTTATTATGTTTGCATAATACTTTGCAAAATCATTTTGTATCTCCTGATCTCTCTCTACTTCTCACAACCAACTTGCCCAAGACCACACTCACCACCTCCAGGGCACTGCACCAGAATCTGAACCAGGAATGTGGGTTGGTCGGGGGACTTGGGGGTTGGAGGGGTGTGGCTGTGTCACTGGAAACATTTCCCAGATGATTCTAATATGCCCCTGCCTGGGAGGAGCTCCGAAATGCAATGCTTTTTCATATAATCTCTTTTACTAAGGCGGCCAATCATTCACTGAGATAATGCCATAACATAACGAACCCATCTTCACTGTAGGCATTGGGTCCTTTCCTGTCTCCATGCACATCACCAGCTCGGTGTTCGCACAGCTCGGCGCCTGCTAATGAAGCTGGCACCCAAGCCTCAGTGCACGCGGCTGGACTTGCTGATGGGAGAGGACCTTGCTATCAAGAGGTCCTCTATTTCCAGAGGCTTCTATAGTGACCACACATCCAGCAGAATCCAATAGCGTTGTTGGTTCTGTCCTTCAGTGAATGTTTAGTAAACACAGGCAACCTAGAAGGTTGGATCTGGTGTCCACGGGGATGTAAGTATCACCATCAGTTGTGCTTTGTCGAAAGAGGTCAGGGGACCCCTGAAGGCAGCGGCTTCACTGGGTGCATGGTCCCTGAATTGGTAAGACCTCCAAGAACTACGTTCCCCTCAATGACCTGGGTCAGTTCTATTAATTCTTTGGCATGTGTTTTTGCTTGGTCGTTTCTTTAATTAATTTGGAGTAGCAACAAGTACTTAATTAGAATAATGACAAAGACTATCATGATCTCACCATACTGTTGGGAGGAAGAGTTAAGTGAATAATTAGAAACTTGATAAGGGTGTTGAGCATGGAGAAGTTAAGGGAAAGTCTTGCCCAGTGACCGTGGGGCGCGCGGGAGAAAACGCTGAGACTCAGCCCCGCAGCAGGCTGCTCCCGTCCCGGCACCTCCCAAAGGACGGGCGCCCAGAATGACTGCCCAGAAGGGAAAACAGTTTCCTCCCCTGGTATTTTGAGACCAAAAACAGACCAGATATTAGCTGTCAAAGAACTAGAATACCAGTCTGGTGTTCTAGGTGGCATTTGTTAAATTCTCCGAAGACGGGCGCTCTCACCCCGCGACTCTGCGCGGAGCGGCCCGCGGGCGGAGTTTACACCCGGCCAGAGATCTCCAGGTACAGCCAAAGCAGGTCATCAGCCCACATATCACCCGTATTTTTCTGAAATTGGTATGAATTGGGGGTGGAGGTGAAAGAAGAAGTAGTTTTCACTTTTCACTCTGTACGTTCATGTAGTTTGAAATGCTCACAGTGATAATAGACTGTAAAAAACCTGATGCATGTTGGGCCATCTTCCCTACATAACACGAGATTAAAGTCTCTTTATTCTCCGACCCCTGCGTAATTACTGAGATGCATTCTCCTCTGTTGCTTGCTGGCTTATGTTTGTCTTTTTCTCCATTTCCATGGACACAAGCACATGCCTTTCAAGAAAATCCTGTTTTTCTTTAGAATTCCTGTGCACTTTTCCATACCAGCTATGCTCCTGGACAAATGTCCATTATGCTACCCCTTCCTGGGGTTTAAAAATGTAATTTCTGGTGGTAAGAAAGAAATTCTAAACCAGATTTCAGAGTAGAAAGCAAAAAACCCATTGGGGGTTGTCAACACGTTGTGTACTGAATAAAGAATAGCTACCATTTGCAATCACCATCAACTCATGTATAAAAAGATCCTTAAAGGGACGACATCTTACTACCACACTTTCGGATCTCACGGAATACACTAAAGTGGACGACACTCTAACCAACTGAGCTACCAGGCCAGGGCGAGTGTGAATAATTAATGTGAAAACAATTTTCCGTCATGGGCTGGTTTTAAGAAGTCATTGATGTAAAGAACACATCCATTTCAGGAAGAAAGATCTGAGGCCCCCGCATGACTTGGTGACTTGCCCAAGCGGAGCTCGGGAACACGGAGGGTCCGCTCTGCTCTCTGCGGGCGCGAGGCCTGCAGGCTGAATTCAGATTTCTGCAGGGTGAAGGTCAGTCTTTCAGTGAGCATCGGTTTGCCTTGTATCTTCTATTCAAATTAAAGGTGTGAAATTATATTCATTTAATTTCAAATAAATTAAATCATTTCCACTGTTTCTAGAAAACACTTACACAGAAAATGTAATAATAAATGTTTGCCATATCTCAAATATAAAGAATCCTAAAGTATGTTGAGTCAGAAACAGGCTTATGTATTAAAATACATTACCTATGTTTTTCAGCTTTAAATTGATCCAAAGTGTTCTGAATAACAAAGGAAGGTGATTCTACCCTTCATTTTCAAAGAAAACCATTCTACCCAGTATCTATGGTAACTTGGTCCCCAGCCTAAGAAAGTAGAGAATCTCTTTCACATAATAATGTTTTGCTAGGTTGCTTCTTTCTTCACTCTCAATCTCTGGTCAACAGAATTTTTTCTTTTTTTAAAGGGAGGTGGGGATGCTAGGTGTGTCTGTGGATACATACCTCACAGCGAAGTGCAAAATGGTTGGGCCTGGTTTCTTGGGCAAATCATGGTCAAGAACTCGGTGATCTAACTGTAGCCAGTTCTGCTGACCTCTGTGAGAGCAGAGCAAAGAGAAAGGATTAAATAGAAAATCAGAGAAAGGTTCAGTAATACCCTGTGTTGGCAACTCTGTGGAGAAACAGTTTACTCCCATACGCTGATGGTAGGTACTTCACCTGTTACATCAAGTGATGGGGACAGTTTAGGACTTCCTAGCAGAAGTATAACAGCACTTGCCTCTGAATCAGCATTCCCACCTCCAGGAGTCTGTGAAGATGAGCTTGCTCGTGTGGAACACGGTCCACAGGTAAAGTCACTCCCTACAGTGTAGTTTGTAACAGTGAAAAAGCTTGAAACAATAGTAATGTCTACCAGGATATTGTTTTAAAAAATGAATGTAACCTGAGTGATTCATACAAAAGAATGGTACTATATTTACAAACTTATTTTGAACAATATTCAAGATATGATGTTAAATGAAAAGGCAAGATGCATAACAGTGAGCAAGTATAGTATATAACCATTTTTATTTTTTATTATTATTTTTTATCCCCACCTGAGGACATTTTTGCATTTATCTTCAGCTAGAGCGGGAGGGAGAGAGGGAGGAAGAGAGAGAGAAACATCGATGTGAGAGAGACACATTGAGTGGTTGCCACCCACACGACCCCACCTGGGGCCGGGGATAAATTGCAACTGAGCTACATGTCCTTAGTGGGAACCGAACCCGGGACTCTGGTCCGTGGGCCGATACTCCAACTGCTGAGCCAAACCAGCCAGGGCACCATTTTTATTTTTAAAAAATATTTCTTTATTGATTTTAGAGAGAGAGGAAGGGAGAGGGAGAGATAGAAACATCGATGAGAGAGAACATCAATTGGCCGTCTCCTGCATGCCCTCCACTGGGGATTGGGCGCACAACCTGGGCATGTGTTCTGACCAGGAATTGAACCAGCGACCTCTTGAATATCACCATTTTTAAAAGTAAAAAACAGATATATATATAGGTATTCATGTATATATAAATATACATATAAAACCTCTCAGAGGATAAACAGGAAATAACACTGGTTGCCTAGGAGATCAAAAAGCAGGTGACATTGCCCCGGCCAGTTTGGCTCAGCGGTTGGAGCGTTGGCCTGCGGATGAGAGAGTCCCAGGTTTGGTTCCCCCTAGGGGCATGTACCAAAAAAAAAAAAAAAGGAACATGCTTTGTGTGCATGACACCCACAAATTAGGCGTTCATATTTAGGGAACTGCGAAAAGAATAAATTGGTTTATTGGGAAAAAAAAGCAGGTGACATTAAGTATATTAATCTTTAAACTTTTATTAAATATAAAATATGAAATATTTTAGATAGTCATAAAGGGGAAAACTTTTGGTCATTTAATGAAATCAGAAAACAGATAACAATACTATAGCTGTTTTGAAAGTACAGGGTTGATTACTCTCCGGTTGCGGCTTCTGTACTAAGCATAAAATGAACTTTCTAATATTTATGCGTATACAAGGTGGGCAGAGTAGATCTACAGTTGTTCATATGGAGAATACTACAGTGTTTCATAAAGGATACAAGAATAGACTCTATTTTGCATACCTGCAACTGTAAGCCTGGATATCAAGGCCTGCCCAGGTTTAGGGGTATGAGTAGTTCTTCCCGACTCTGACCTCCGGGAAATGGAAAGGGCCGATGGTACTGGGGCCAGGATGGCTCACATGACTATTTCAAGGTTGTTGAACTAGTTGATCTGTTTCGGGCTGAGATTCCCAGAGGGCACAGACTCTGTTTGCCTTGCTTCCATAAAACCCAAGAACGGCTGAGAGGGATGGGTGTCCAAGGGCAACAAGACCTCTACTGGGCCAGAAGACATTTTCCAACCTATTTTGGTCTTTGAGTAAATAATTTTTTAAAAATCAGAAAACTCTAAGCGGTATTCAGAGAAGAAAGTGGACACAAAGAATATTAACATTAATAATAATAGCTCCTGTTTATTGAGCAGCTGCTCTGTGCCAACCGAGCTGGAAGTGCTGGTGTCTGAATGTTCTAGTCACCAGTAACCTGCAAAGGAAGCGGCAGGGCTGGGGTCTGAACCCCGGGCTTTCTATACAGGAGACAATGAGATTACAGGGTTGAATCAGCTTTTATAATAACTTTTGGTTTGCTCTCTGTCACTAGTTTGAACACTGGGAAAAATATTTTTGTTTCTGTAATAATACACTGAGGCTTCTGGGAACTGCTCCCAGCCTTCCTTGGAGGAATATTGTGAAGATAAATAAACGGGGATAAGTGATAGAGGGGAGGTTCTTAGAGGGGCTGGTGCTGCGTAACAATAATGTAAAGACAGAGGACTGGAAGTTAGGGTTCCTTACACTGTATGTCATAGGTTTAGGACGGCACTGAGACAAATACATATCCCACCTTCAGAGGTATTAGATGTGTGTCTTAATCCACATAAAATATCGTATAGGAGCAGATCTCAGAAGCTTTCTTGTAGAAAACGAGACTCACTCTGAATTGTCTCTTTTGCTTTTACATAGAAAAGATGTGGCATCATTAAAAATCATCATGTACATTTATACAAACTTGCATGGAATGATGTCCAAGAATGAAAAAAATAAATTCTATTAGCCACAGAGGCACACTCAAAACACTATTATACATGGATAAAACTAGGATATAGTTCTGGAAAGATATAAAACAAATTGCTACAATCAAAGAGTCTAGCTTCAACCATGATATTAAATGTTCTTATAAGAAAATATTCATGTAAATGTAATATGAGATCGTAAATTAGAAATTAGATTTTAAAAAATTCATTCATAGTCTCACCAACAGGATAAAGTCAGAACAAGAAGTGAACATTACACGTCACGCTATCACTGAGATATAATCAAAATTCACATACTATTTTATAGTCTTTGAGGCTAACATGAGATCAAAAACTGTAATCTGCTTTTCTCAGGATCTACCAGAAAATATAACAGATGTAATCACCACCTCAAAAAGACATCTAAATCCATACTCATGTCTGTCAAGCTGTGCAAGCAAACCTTAGGGCCAGTTTCCATCTGGGCTAGAACTGTATCCCTTAGATGGGACCCGATCACAAGTAACCGTGTTATAAAACCTGTTTGTTAACCCTGTGGACAGACAGGCCGCTGTCAGGAGGGCCGTGACTGCCCTCTGGGGGTAACAGACTCACCCTGCACACAGAACAGCAGAAGGCACCATCCAGGGTGAGTTTCCAGGAGCTTGACCCTCCTCCTTCTAACAGGACCATGAATTTGTTTTGGTTGGTCACTACCACTACTTTTATTATGTAACTGTGCAGTTCTATTTTTCCGTTTCTCTCTTGGCCTGTGGAGTAGGGTATAGACATTAGCTAGTTTTATGGCCAAATGTCCACCTCTGCTGTGCCTTGCTCTATTTAGAGACGGTCACCAAAGGCAAAGGGCTGATGTGGCATCTAGCCTGGCAGACGGCACCCTGGGAGGGGTCTGACTCAGTGGCTTATGGTGGGGGCGGGGAAACGGGTGTACGGAAAGAAAATACTTTCCAAAAATATTTACCAGACAAAAAGAACCAGGCTTGTGACCAGGACATTCCGAGGAGACACCCTCGGCCAGAGCGACTTTGCAGACCTGCTCGCCAGAAAGGCGGGGATGGCCGGTCCTCACTCCTCCCCAACAGAGGGCGCGGCGCGCTGCTCCCGAAAATAAACGCGGCTAGACCCAGAGGACACCTTGTAAACTGGTCATAACGTGAACATAGGCCCTGCTGGCACTTGCAGAGGTGGGGGGTGGGGGCACATTTTGGGGGCAGAATTCTTGGAGGACTATAACATTGGCCTCCACCACCAAAGGAGATCACCGGGGGAGACGCCTGAGAGAGACTCTTTTTAAAAATATATATATTTTTATTGGATTTTTTAGAGAGAAAGGGAGAGGGAGATAGAAACATGGATGTGAGAGAGAAACACCCCCTACTGGGGATCAAGCCTGCAACCCGGGCGTGTGCCCTGACGGGATCGAACTGGGACCTCTCAGTCCCGGGAGGACACTCAGTCCACTGAGCCACCAGCGGGCCCGAGAGACTTCTCAGCAGAGGACTCAGAAGGAACTCCCAGGGCAGGAGAGCGGGAAAGTGGCCCACGCCCCTGAAGGAAGTCATTCCTACTATTCCTTCCTCTCTGAAGAAAAGGCTTTCCAGTCTGAACGCCTGGTTGATGCACTGACTATGCTCACCTGAGCCTGGACTTTTCCCAGAAGTTTCATGTGGCCAATACCCTCTCTTCCAGGCCACCATGAACCTTGTACCCTGGGGGACGTGTGACCCCACAGCCCCAAATCATGTCGCTCCTCTATATAAAATCCTTCCGTGGCCAAGGGGTACCTCTCCCACCAACAGGACTCATGATCATCAGGCTCACCTATGATCTTGTCTCTGTTACATCTTCCTCCACAATCAGGTCAGGCTCCTCGTCATGGGGAAATGTACCATGCTCATGATCATGTCTGTGAACTGGCCCACAAAATGACTTTCCCCTAGAATGTCATCTCCTGTCCCCTCCAAAGTCCCCCTGCCCTGCCAGGTCTGATTTATTTATCCCGCCATGTGGCTCCCACCCCAGTCCTCCTCCAGCCTGCTCATGGACCCCTGCCTGCTGCCACAGCGGCTCCCTTCACTGGGAGCCTGGGCTTCAGCAGTGCAGAGTGCTGGTGCCCCACTGTGTGCCTCATGTGGTGCTGACTGTGTGGGCACTACTGTTACGTCCATTGTACAGATGAGAAAACTTGAGTGTCAGAAATGTTAGGTCATTGGTCCAAGATCACACAGCTACCAAGATTCTACGCTATCCACCCTTGCCTCCCTCTCAACATACTCTCCTGTCCCACTCTGTCTCCATGTTCTAGCCACACTGTGGTTGTTTTTTCTCCTTTCTCAAAAAAAAAAGTTAAACTCAGCCCCTCCTTCTGCCGTGGGTTGTCTGGAACGCCTCTTTAGGATCCACAGAGCTGGTTCTTACTTTGTATTGTGCACCTCCTCTTAAAGCCCCTCCTAGTTGATGTGCCAGAAACTGCACCCCGCGTTTCTGGATCATGGCCTCTTATTTTCTCTTCTTCAAAGCACTATAATTTCTGGTATTTTCCCATTTATCCATGTTTCTTTGTTCTGCTGGACTACACTGTAGCTATATAAGCTCCATGAAAGCAAGAACCTTGTCTGTGTTGTTCACAGCTGACTTCCCAGGACGCAGAACAAGGCCTGGCATTTAGTGGGCACTCACGAAACATTCTTTAAGTGAACAAATTGCTCCAGTATTTATTGAGCTTTTAGATTTTACTTCTGACCTCTTTAAATTATAGTGTTTATGGCACATGCAGATTGCAACATATAACTTAGCCATTAAGTATTTATGGTTTTATGTCTTACACTGTGAGCTATTATTTCATTCACATTCAGACTCAACACAAGTGTGTGTGTGTGTGTGTGTGTTTAATCACTGGTCCACATGGACTCGTCCTGGCTTTCGGCCGGACCGTGAATGCTAATTGTGAATGACAGTAGGTGGTCCAGACAAAAGGCGAAGAGAGAAAAATGACTGGAAAAACACTTACATGTCATCTGTAAATGTGATTCCAAAGTACTCCTTCTCTTTCAGGTTGAAATGTGAAGCCACAAGGTCCAGCAACTCTCTTGATAAAAGTTTGGGCTGTCGGTATAAAAATTTGATTAGAAACAAGTTGGTTGCCTCTCTCTCTAATTGCTACCACCTTCCTCTGCCCCAAATAATTTAAAACAGCTTTTGTTTGTTTTTAAATTACCACCCCTCCTCCAGCTGCACAGGTTCATCAACAAGAGACCATTCTCTAACAGACTGGGAAAGAGAGCAAATGGGAAGAGGTACATCAGTGAGCTCAGCATTTTCATGTATTTGCAAGTCAGCCCGGTACCTACTTCTTTCCTCTAAGGCAAGACTGTGTTTACTAACCACTGGTATTCTGGAAAAACACTCTTATATGTAGTATGGTGTAGTGACCAAGACAAACAGTATCAGCTGCCTCACTGGACTGGAGGATTCACTCTGCTTGGTGGACCAGTTGAAAAGGATGGAGACCCAGGCTGTGGGAGGGTGTCACAGACAGAACTAACAACAATAATCATTCACTGTGCCAAATGCCTTGTATCTGTTATCTTGTTCCGTCCTCACAGTGAGCCTATGAGGTATGGGTTCTTATTTTCCAGTTTATGGATGAGGCAGCCAATGCCAAGAGAAGCTAGCCCAGTTTGACGTCAGTTTGGAAGCACAGGGATTTGGATGTAGTTCTGTCTGCTTACAAAGCCCAAGCTTTTTATTGCTCTCTGGGGAGTCAATGTACCAACGTATGGATGGTCATCACTAGTACTTACTGAACATGTAGTGAGAGGAAGGATCTAACCTATCATCTTTTAGGAAGCACTGCACTTGGTGGGAAGAAGTACAGTTTGGAATCAGCCAGAATGTTTGAGTGGCTGTGGATGCTGGATTTGCAGGGGTTGCGGAAGAAAAGAGGGTTTGTAGGAGAGCATTCTAGAGGGTTCTGACCTTTGAACCAAACAGTCTAGGGTTTATTATGATGGTTTGTGGGTTGAATGTTTGCTGTTGGGGAAGAAAAATAGTCATGATTAGAGAGGATGAAAAAAGGAAAGAAAGAAATGTAAAGAAAAGAAGAGAAGAGAAGAGAAACACAGGCAGAAATCCAGATTAAAATGTGTGCTCTGGTGAAGCTATAGTTGACTGTACTATTTTCATTCTAATTGAAGCCTGTGCATAGTGGGCTAGGGATGGGCTCAGAAGGGAGAGAAATGTAGGTTTGGTCACAGGGAAGAATTCTAGCCACAGCTGTAGGTGTGGCTGTCAGCAGGGACTTCCACAATTTGTAGATGCTTGGTCCAAAGTGTTGGGTAGATAAAGGGAGAAGCATCATCAGTCGTATAGTCGCACATATTTTACAAAGAGATTTCATTCCCACATAGGGTTCAGCTTGATTTTAACCATAATCCTGTGAGGAAGACTAGGCAATCTCAACCCCAGTTCACAGTTTATGAAACTGGGAATTTAACATGGACAATGTCATGGGCTGAAAAGTGGCAGAATGCAGATTTTTCAGCTCGAAATAACCCTTTCACAGAAGCATTAAGTTCCCCAATTTACCGACAAGAGATTCAAAGAAGTAAAGTCACTTGCTCGGGGTCCACAGCCACTGAGTGTCAGACCTCAGCTGGAAGCCAAGCCTCTCTGAATACACGTCACCAAACTCTAGTTACACACAGACCACTTCCTCTGACTTCAAAGCTACCGTCTCCTCCTCAGTCAGTCCCGAGTCACAGGCTTTGAGGCACAGATAAGCGATCAGCCTGCACACAGGCCGTGAAGCTCACAGAGGACACCAGGACGCGCTGTCCCGTGTGCACGACACCTACCTGAACCAGCAGCTCCAGCCTCCTGTCATCCAGCAGGTGCACCTGGCAGTGCCTGCCTTCTGTCATCTGTGGGGACGAGACAGCAAGAGTGGTGTCAGGCTCGGGGCTGGCGGGAACCTGCAACGCGACCCATCATTTACTTCACGGTGACGTGCTCAGCCTAGCAGTGGCTCCAGCCCTCAGTCAACAGGCTTGGTCAGAAACAGACTTACTACATGGCATTAGCTCTTGGATTTTTAAACTTTAAATGTTTTAGCTGCTTGGTTTAAAAGAATAAAAGAATAAAAAGCAGAGACAACTCAATATATTGAAAAAATAATACCTATACGTGCACACAAAATTTTATTATGAAAAGTAGGTTTCCTTTCCAGAGGAAACTACTGTACTTTTCTTTAAATATTTTATTTATCAAATAAAAATACCTTTATTCATTGGTGTATTTTAATGAATATAATACATGCATAATTATAAGAAAAAAAAAACATGTTTCGAAAATTTCCATTTTTAAAACTGCCCCCTTTATAAGTATATTACTATTAAAATTAAGAACAGTTAAGATACACAGTTAAGAACTATGTATAAATTTCCAATTATATTTAATTTTTATCATTTATAATTGCAATACTGGCAAATATTTAAACAGCCCTGGCTGGTTTGGCTCAGTGGTTGGAGCGTCAGCCCACAGACCAATGAGTCCCGGGTTTGAGTCCAGCCAAGGGCATGGACCTTGGTAGTGGTTCGTCCCCGGCCCTGGTCGGGGTTGTACAGGAGGCAACCAGTCGAGGTGTCCCTCTCGTGTCAATGTTTCTCTCTTTCTCTCTCCTCCTCCCTCCAACTCTATCTGAAGACAGATACAAAAATATCCTCAGGTAAGGATTAAAAAAACAAAAATTGAAACAATGCACAGAATGCAGATTCCCCTTGACGAACTTGTGCTTCAAATCATCTGAGCTGCTGACAGCACCACCCTGTCAATCTGAGGAGCCCTCACAGACTATCTTTGTGTGGACTCTCAGATACAGGTACATACTTTAAAAATCATATTGAGAAGATGGCGGTGGGCAGGACCGGAGGGAGGGTGAGTGTGTGAGAGAGTGAGCGAGTGTGTGAGAGTGTGAGTGGACGTGAAGGTGGACGACCAAAACCGAGCAGTACAGAGCCCAGAGCAGAAGGTTCCTGTGCTGTGGACTGAGCAGCCGGCTACCCAGGTAAGCGGCCCTTCAGGGCGCTTCTCCCTGCACCAAGGGGAGGTCCCACCATTTGGGAATATCCCGGGTCGTCCCTTGGGGGAGGCAGTGGGAGCGGCTAGGGCCCAGCAACCTGAGCCCACCAGCGCACCTGGCACCATCGGACCAGTGGACACCCTGTGTCAACACAGACCAGTGCACAGTAGCGGAGCTCCCAAGGTGCCTGCTGAAGAAGCTGCAAATGGGAGCCCAGCACCATCCCCCATAGCAGCAGCCCGATCAGAGTCGAGATATAACCCCAGCAACAGAGGCTGGGAGCAGACATCCATCCCCAGGCAACAGAAGCACAGACCAGCAGCTGAGACCCATCCCTAAAAACTACAGCAAAGGTCGAGCAGGAGTTGAGACCCACAAGGCAGCAACACTCCGCAGCCACCAGCAGCGGGACCTGGGTATCCACAGAGGCCTGTGCAACCCAGAGGCCCACAAGAGCAGTGGGAAGCCAGGGCTCGAGAGAGACTAGTGTGATCCAGCTGCCTATGGACCCTGCGGGGTGCTGGGGCACCAGAGAGGCCTGAGCGACCCAGCTGCCCACAAGATAGGCGTGGAGCCGGGTCTCCAAAGGGGCTGTGCGATCCAGCTGCCTGTGGGACCTGTGGGGAGCTGGAGCACCAGAGAGGCCTGTGCGACCCAGCTGCCCACAAGATCGGCAGGGAGCCAGGGCTCCAGTGAGGCCTGTGCAACACAGCTGCCCATGGTACGGGCAGGGAGCATGGCTCCACAGGGCCTGAGCTATACAGCTACAGGTGGCACCAGCGACCAGCTGGAAACACAGCTCCAGAGGGGCCAACGTGATCCAGCAGCAGCACCTACCAGGACACACCAATACCAGCCCCCAGTAGTCAATACTCCAGGATCCACAGCAGGCAAGAGGTGACACACAACAAAACAGCCTGGGAGGCACAGTAGCCTTATTTGATATACAGTGAGCTGCCTACACTTCCAAACATCCCTCACTGGGTCTAGAGCTACCAGACGGCTAAAATGGGGAGACAAAGAAACAACACCCAAAGGAAAGAAAAAGAGGAATCACCAGAAGAGGAACTATAGGACATGGAAGACAGCAACTTGTCAGATAAAGAATTCAAAGCAATGATTTTTAAGGGTGCTCAAACAATTTGGTGAGAACTACAAGCAACTTAATACGAATTATGAAGGCTCACTGGGAACTACTTTAACTTAAAAAAAGAGATAGAAGCTATCCATAAAAATCAAGAGGAAATAAAGAATGACATAGCGGTAATGAAAAATACTTAGAAGGTTTCAATAGTATATTAGAAGAAGCTGAAGACCAAATCAGTGACTTAGAAGACAAGGTACAAAAAACACCCAGAGCAGCAAATGGAAAACAATTTAAAAAGCAGGAGGAAAGTTTAAGGGAGCCATGGGACAATACAAAACGTAACAACTTTCGCATTATAGAAATACCACAAGGAGAAGAATCAGAGAAAGGAATAGAGAAGCTGTTTGAAGAAATAATGACAGAAAACTTCCTTAATCTGATGAAGGAAAAAGTCACACAAGTCCAGGAAACACAGAGAGTCCCAAGCAAGATGAACCCCAGAAGACCCATAGGTAGACGCATCATAATAAAAATGGCAAACATTAAAGACAAAGAAAAATTGTTAAAGGAAACAAGAGAGAGACAAAAAGTTACCTACAAGGGAGCTCCCATTAGACTGTCAGCTGATTTTTCAATAGAAATGATGCAGGCCAGAAGGGAGTGGCATGAAGTGTACAAAGTAATGCAAGGCAAGGCTCTGAATCCAAGACTACTTTATCCAGCAAGGCTATCATTCAAAATTGAAGGAGAAATAAAGAGCTTCACAGATTAAAAAAAAAAAAAAGCTAAAGGCATTTACCACCACCAAACTAGCACTGCAAAAAATGCTGAAGGGACTGTTTTAAGAAGAAGAAGAAACAGAGGGGGTGGGCATAGGCATAAAATTAAAATGGCAACTAATAACTATCTATCAATAATTATCTTAAATGTAAGTGGCTTAAATGCTCCAATCAAAAGATATAGGGTAGCTGATTGGATAAGAAAACACGACCCATATATACGCTGTCTACAAGATACCCACCTCAAAACAAAAGACTCACACAGGATAAAAGTGAAAGGATTGAAAAAATTTTTCCAAGTAAATGGAAATGGAAAAAAAGCTGGTGTAGCAATACTCAAAACTGACAAGATGGACTTCAAAACAAGGGCCATAATAAGAGACAGAGAAGGTCATTATATAACATTAAAAGTATCAATCCAACAAGAGAATATAACCCTGGTAAACATATACACACCAAATACGGGAGCACCAAAATATATTTAAAAACTTCTGGAGGACTTCAAGGGAGAGATCAATGGCAACATGATCAAGGCGGGTGACTTTAACACCCCACTTACACCACTGGATAGATCTTCTAGACAAAAAATCAACAAGAACATAGAGTTCTTACAAGATGAATTAGATCAGTTGGACTTCATTGATATTTACAGAACATTTCACCCCAAAGCTGCAGAATATACATTCTTCTCAAGTGCACATGGGTCATTCTCAAAGATAGACCACATGTTAGGACACAAAGCAAGTCTCTACAAATTCAAGAAAATTGAAATCATATCAAGCATCTTCTCAGATCACAGTGGCATGAAACTAGAACTCAATTACAATAAAAACACACAAAAACATTCAAACACACGGAGGCTAAATAGCATGTTATTAAATAATGAATGATTTACTAACAAGATCAAGGAAGAAATGAAAAACTTCCTGGAAACCAATGAAAATGAACACACAACAACACAAAATCCATGGGACACAGCAAAAGCAGTCCTGAGAGGGAAGTTCATAGCACTACAGGCCTACCCCAAGAAATAAGAAAAATTTCTAATTGGCTTTCTAACCCTACAACTTAAAGAACTAGAAGGTAAACAAAAAGAAAAACCAGAGCTAGTAGGAGGAAGGAAATAGTAAAGGTCAGAGCAGAAATAAATAACATAGAGACTAAAAAACAATTTAATAGATCAATGAAAAAAAAAAGCTGGTTCTTTGAAAAGATAAAGATCAATGGACCTTTAAACAGACTCACCAAGAAATAAAAAGAGAGAAACCAAATAAATAAAACCAGAAATGAAAGAAGAGAAATAACAACTGACACCACAGAAATACAAAGGATCATTGAAACATACTATGAACAATTGTACGCCAAAAAATTGGACAATCTAGGAGAAATGGACAAATTTCTAGAAACACACAGCCTCCCTAAACTGAACCAGGAAGAGACAGAAAACTTGAACAGACCAATAACAACAAAGGAAATTGAAGATGTAATTAAGAAACTCCCAGCAAACAAAAGCCCAGGCCCAGATGGCTTCACGGGGGAGTTTTACCGAACATTCATAGAAGATCTAATACCCATTCTCCTCAAACTGTTCCAAAAAATCCAAGAAGTTGAAACACTTCCAAATTCATTTTATGGGGCCAGCATAATCCCTAACTCCAAAACTGAATAAAGCCACTACAAGGAAAGAAAACTACAGGCCAACATCCCTGATGAACACAAAAGCCAAAACCCTTAACAAAATATTAGCAAATCAGATCCAGCAATACAACAAAAAAATTATTCACCATGACCAAGTGGGTTTCACCCCAGGCATGCAAGGATGGTACAATAGTCACAAATCAATAAATGTGATACACTACATAAACAAACAGAAAAATAAAAACCATATGATCATATCAATAGATGCTGAAAAAGCATTCAACAAAAGTCAGCACCCATTTCTGATAAAAACGCTCAGCAATGTGGGAATAGAAGGAT